ACCATAAACTGTTTACACGAACTATTCGCGAGATTTAGCGTCACGGATTGTTTGGTAAGCGATAACGGCACACAATTTACCTCCAGTGACTTCAAAGAATTTTGTGAGACATATCAAGTAAAGCATATCAAGATAGCCCCGTGCCACCCGAGGTCGAACGGACAAGCTGAAAGATTCGTTGACACATTAAAAAGAGCGTTAAAAAAGCCGAGGATGTACCGACGATAAAAGCGATACAACAGTTCCTCCAGGTGTACACAATAACACCTAACGTGAACACGCCATCGCGTCTTTCACCAGCGGAATTGATGTTTGCACGGAGAATAAGGTCGGTGTTTGACAAACTATTACCAAACAAGAACAAAAACCAGTATACACCTATTGTATCCAAGAGATCATTTAAAACAGGAGAACGGGTTTACTTTAGGATGTTTAGAAACAATATGGCTTACTGGGAGCCTGGCACAATAATTAACAGATTAGGAAATGTGATGTACACAGTACAAGGCGAGAAGTTTTCACATAGAAGACATATTGACCATTTACAAAAAAGACTGGTTGAGGAGCCAAGCTCGTAACCCGCAGAAAACGACGATTCAATGGATGCAATCTTCGAAGCTTTTGAGATCGAAAGATCACAAGAAGACACAGAAATTAGAAGGTCAAACAGGAAGAGAAAATTTACCGAACCTCTGATTATCGACCATAATAGAAAAATACTAACTCCCTCCGAAATGGATCTAAGGAGGGGGGTGTTAAGGGTTCTAACCCTACAAGTGGACTTGCCCAGTGTGTACTTATACTGCTGTCGGTGAATACCCGGGAGTGAGAGAGTGAGAGTGTGAGGTAACCGCTTTGTAGGAGTCACAGTTGCGAGCACGTAGACTCAGAAGGAAGTCATACTTCGATACTGAATTTCCCAGACTGTATATATATATTATTATTGCTACAAACCGCATTTCTGGATCTACTAACCGTATTACCAATTGTATTATTGCATCAATACATTTATTTGCTATATTTCATTCCTGCGTTTGTCATTCATTTGAGACCAGATTTCATCCCGGAATCCACAACACTTCTGGATTTGACTAACTGATTAAGTTAAAAATCTTATAACTAATTTGCGTCTCTAACACATTCAGGTTCAAAGTTAAAGCATAATAAATGATTGCCAATTGATTCTCTGTTCACTTCTGCAAAGAAGTTAGGTTTCTATTTCTGCCACTATTTCTTCTTTGTTTCTGAAATTAGTTCTGCATCATCAAAAAATGTTCATTTGTGAAATATATCGAAAAATGGTAACACATGATTCAATTACTTTCGCTTCGAAGGAAATAAAATAATTACAGGAAACAAAACATAAGACTAAAGCTGACTAACCACCATTAAATCAAGGAGGAGAAAAACATTGATTCCAAAATAGACGCATAAACAGGCCTTCTTCCTGATCTGGATTAAACTAATTTACTATAGGCTACAATTTCAACACAATATGTAGTTTAACTTGAAAATAAAACAATTTTTAATATTGTTTATGTATCGTGTATCTGGCACATAGATAGATAGATAGATAGATAGATAGATAGAAAGATAGATAGATAGATAGATAGATAGATAGATAGATAGATAGTTTTAGGGTATAGGAATGAACACTGTACGGTGAATGTCATTTTAACGCTTCAATCTTCAGACCAAGTGCTTAGTAGGCTATATATATATATATACGGGTTTCGGGGGGGGGGTATGTGAGAAGTAGGGAAAAATGAACTTATTTACGATCATGACATCGAGATTACTTATTTATGCTGGTTGGATCATTGGAGGAAGAATGTATGTAAATAAGCTAGGTTTATTTGTGGTTATGACCTCCAGGTTACTTATACACACACACATATATATATATATATATATATATATATATATATATATATATATATATATATTTATTATAATTTATTTGCAATCTATACTGTTTCATTTAATCTTTTTATTTCTTTAGTTTTGTATATTTTTCTTTCAAGTATTGTTTCTATATTTTGGTGTTAGAAATAAAGTTTATTACAATTAGGTTATGGTATTTTGATTTAGTTTTTCTGTTCTTAATTTTGTTTTCGGTACCGAAAAATAAATTTGTTTTCATATCTACTAATGAGACAACGTTCAAGGTTTGGTTCTTAGTATCGTGTAGGGCAACCTGTAGACCAGCAAAGCGTAGCAATTCGACATGGTATCGATTCCACCAGTGGTCGGAAGACATTTGGAGGTATGTTGAGCCATTTCGTTTCAATAGCTGTCTTACAGCACCCCCGACCCTGATAATTGTAGGGGCCAAAGATTTTTTGTGTGAATAGACCTCTTCATTGTGTCCCATAAATGCTCGATTGGATTCATGTCCGGCGAGCGTGGTGGCTCCACCATTTATAGGAAGTGTCCAGAATGCTACTTAAATGGATTTGGGACAACTTGGGCCCGATAACACGGAATAACACATCGTTGTTGGTAGAACATGGTGGATCTTCTGCTATATTCCATGGACGCTAAAGAACGGTGAACTGATCCCCATTTAATGTGGATGTGAGTTTCTTGTCATATAATTCTAGCAAGATGCTTTAGACACGATTATAAAAAACCTGTGGTCAGCAATGATGTATCCCATGGACACACGTATGTCAAATGTCCCTACAATTTCAGAAATGGATTGTCTTAGGTGTATGGTACTCAAACTCCCTAATAATTAAAATCACACTGCCATAAGGAACTAAGACAGTGTTCACATTGACACACTATATGTAATAGTACAACTGATATATTGACACACTATATGTAATAGTACAACTGATATAGGTCTGGGCATTTCCATGACGTCAAGGTGCTATCTACCATTACCTTTACATATTGCTATTCCATGACTTTGGCATATCAGTTCATATCTATCTATCTATCTATCTATCTATCTATCTCTCTCTCTCTCTCTCTCTCTCTCTCTATATATATATATATATATATATATATATATATATATATATATATATATATATATATATATATAAGGGGATATGTCAATTTATTCTTATTCACTTTTTAGTCTTTTTTTCTCTTATTTTTCCCAATGTTACTGGGTAGCATTGATAATAATATTCCTATTTATATTCGAGCTAAATGCTTGTATTTTGCAACGCAAGATTCTAAGAATTCTTTTTCAATTCAAAATGTTGCAATAAGTATAAATATTCGCTAAATATTGAGGATTTTCAAATATTTTCAGGTATTATAAAAGGAAAATTGTATTTTTCAGACGTTGAACATCGACCCTATTGGCAAGTAAACTTAAATAAAGTGCGACAAATACGGAAAGTGATTTTAATCAGCAAAGACACTCAAAGCAGTAAGTAGGAAAATCGTCTTCTGCACGTTTCAGTTATTCATTAAAACGTTACCATTTGCAATGTCATTGTCATCAAATCTTAAAACTAACGCATGTACAGTCAACACTGAAGGCATCCATATATATATGCATTTTACTTTTAATAATGTGATATACAACTCATGGAAAACGATTATGAAATGATTTTGTAATTTGCATTTCAAGTCTGAAAATGAAAATTGTCTGTAATTAAAAGTGCTTGTAAACTTTAATGTGTTGTTGGATTTAGTTGGCTCACTGAAAGGATACATGGCTTCAAGAGCTGTCAATTGAAACAATGAAAATGATACTTTGAAAAGTAAATTCAACACAGTGTGTCTAAAGATATTTTCTTTGGGTAAAATTTAGTGTCTGTATAAACAAAATGTGGAGTTTATAAAAAGAAAACATTAATAGAGGAAAGAAGCTGTAAAACACCAGGTGAGGAAACTAAAAGTCACATATGTTGAAAATAGAAATGAAGAACAAAACAATTGAAAAACAAACAAGTGAAATTATGAGCCACTCTGTGAAATTTAAGAATACTAAAAGAATGTTGGATAACGTATTCAGTCAATTACCATATTTGATACACGCTTGGGCGATCCTGTTTCTTTCTATTTATTACTGAAGAAGCAGAAGATTTTCTCGCAGTAGGTTGCCGTTTCTTTCTGCCAACCAACGCTATAGGATCCAGTCTGTCCTGCTATGAACCTGTCCTGCTGTAATCTAAATGTTTTCAAATAGAACACAAAAAGAACAAAACTAAAGTCTTCTGTTGATGTCTAAACTGGTAAGGTGCTCTTACAGTGGGCCTTGTTTATTTATCTCCGTGGATGCGGCAGGCAGACTGAGTGCGCTTGATGTTACTATAAAGGAGAAAGCGTTTAGATTCATCGCTGTTTCTTTGCTTGACATTGGTAGAAAAGGCTTTGCGTTTTATCGTCCGATCGACTCATTTCTGATAATGTCAAGGTCGTTAGTTTTAGCGGGTGATTGGAATACTATTTTTGATCCCAATTGAAAGCACAGAGGCAACAGAACTGTCGCTCACACGCCCCCCCCCCCCAATGTAGAAATATTTCAATAGAAGGCTTTTGTGATTTACTTTACTTCAAATGCTGATCGTTTGAATCGTGAAACTTAGTTTCTGTTGTGCTCCTTCAAATTGTTTCTTTGTTGTAATAAAAAAATATTTTGACTTTTGCTTCCTGCAATTTTATTTATTGCTTTTTAGAGCAACTTTATTTCACCCGAACATTCTTCAGCTGTTAAACAAAATTAGGAAAATTCTAAATTTCTAGCTTCAAATGAGATATGTATTTTATAGCTGAGCATTAAACAGTTTGGGAAAGCAAATATCTATTGAATGGACACGATTTCGAATCTCGTCCGAAACCGAAGAAAAAAAATGATCGAATAACTTATATTAATTGTGTTAGAGTTACTCTTCTGGTATTGCCATCATTATTCTTATATGTTGTATTTAGTCTTTTGGTGGAGATTGTTAAATCAACCACTTAGTCAATTGTCGATTAATAATGACTTGTGTTTTTGTTGTCAGTTGTGTTCAAATTTTGTTGCCGGTAACTAAATGTTACCGGCAACTAATTTGTTACCTGTAAGTAAATACCGGTTATCAAAACAGATATTTCTTTATTTCTCTCTCTCTCTCTCTCTCTCTCTCTCTCTCTCTCTCTCTCTCTCTCTCTCTCTCTCTCTCTCTCTCTCTCTCACACACACACACACACACACACACATCTATCTATCTGTCTGTCTGTCTCTCTTAATTGCAAATGGCTGTTGTCCTGTGAGATGTCTGTCGGTATTTATTTTCAAACATACTAATGGCTTTATAGGCCATATGCAGCCCTTTCTATTGGGTGCTTGTCTGATTTTGCCAACCTATATATTTGCATTGTATAAAATCTCCCGAACTTTAGTCAGACAGAATCGTCGTGCTGCTAATTGTAATAGCAGACTTTGGGAAGAATTTACACTTGCCAACAACCTTCTTGATAATTATCGGAAAAAAGAAGAAGACGAAGGAAAGAACAGCACTAAATTAACATTAAATTAAAAGTGATTATGGGATTTGTCACAGGATTTAAGAGAATGTCACTTGTACATCAGTAACGATATCAGGTGTTTCACTGGGGAAAATTCATTAGAAAAACAATTATAAATATTTTATCTAAAAAAATATATCTTGAGAATCTTATTTGAAATTTTTCAAATCTCGCGAAAGCAAAGTTTCTTGTTTCCAACTTTAGCCTATATTGTTTGTACATAGCTATTTTTAGCATTTCCAGCACTCTCTTGCACTGGTTGCAAGATGGCTTTTGCTACACCGCTCCTTCCGAGAGAGATATTAGTAATGATTACGGTAAGCTATAGCCGAGGCACATTCGTGCTTGAACCTAGGCTGGCTATTTGACCTTTTTTTTTTTTTTTTTTTTTTTTTTTTTTTTTTTTACTTTTTTGTCGGGGATGAAACTTTCCATGCCTGAAAGGACCCATTCGAAAATGAGGGAGGCTGTTTTGGCAGCCGTATTTCTGAAGAATCCTGAGTGAGGAGCTTCGGTAATGTATGATCAGAATCTATCACAGGCAGCATTGGTGCATCGGTAGGTTGTGCTATAAAATAGGACATCAACTTTAATGAGTGGTCTAAAGTAGACAACACATCAACAAAACATTTGTCGGGAAAGGAAGTGAGAAAAAGGTTTACGGTGTTAGCATAATGGTTAACTATATCGGGAACATGAGTAAGCTTATCCACAATCTGGGCCAGTTCGTAGTCTATGGAGAAGTCATGATAGTATTTGCCTCCTTCGTCGTTTATGTTTGAGTACAGTAAACGTTCCTTGTGAGGAATATTGAAATCACAACATATACGAATGGTTGCAGAAGTGTGATGAGGGGGTATCAACAATAGATCGATTTTTCTAATTCCACGTGCCATGCCTCTCCGAATGTCTCACGTTCTACGTCTCTTCTGGATGTCCTGGGTCATGTATCCACTGATCCATGTGCCCACAAGGACACATGGCCCAGTGGATAAAAACGTTGGTTGGATCCAGTGACTTAACCTAAAGAGTTGTGAGTTCAATACTTGGCTACTGCAGTGGTGAACAAAAATTTGGATAGTTGAGTTAAAGAGAGATAACTGAAACATCCGGAAGAGGCATGGAACTAGAACAATCTACCCCGGTGGACGAAATAAAAGTTTTAGGTTCGAATTTCCAATCACCTGAAGAATGCCGGAGAAACGTTGTGAATATGACAACAAGGATGAGGATAACTGTCCGAACAATGTCCGAACAATGTAAATAATTACAATACCTCATCTCAAATATATAGACATATATCAAAAATCTTCTCACTTGTTCTATCCAACGTTACAATACCATCATTATGTGGGTGATAGATTGAGAAGAGATAGAATCACCACGCTCATGATCATGGCGATTCTGAGGCTCTTGTTTATGAATACGGGCGAGTAATCCGCGATTGTAAATTCCTAAACTGGAGTAGTTTGCTTGAGTCCAGTTTCAGATAGGATCATGGGATCTGGTTCAAGTTAAACCATATTTGTATAGCATTTATATAAAAACATGAACAGACAACGGGTAGTGGAATGGATAATGGCGAAATCAAATCAAAGCAATGGCTGAGGAAAAAGCAATAGACTGATATAAAGAATAATCTTAATCCTTAACATCCGGGGAATTTCCATTCCCCTAGCAAAGAAATAGAATATTCTACAAAGAACCTCTTCTAATTTTTAGATTAAATCAAAATTATTACAAAACATTTTATGACATTTTTTGAGGAAATAAAATTGTATCTTTTGATCTTCATGATTTGATTTTTCTTTTTGGTCTTCTTGACGCTTTTTTAGGCTAATTACACTTTAAACAGTTTTTTTTATAGTTTATTCATCATTCATTATTCATCATAGTTCTTAGATGAATTCGCAAATGATCCGATTCGATATTAAACTATTGTGATATGTTAAAATTTTTAATACATGCAAACGTATTGATGCCTCACATGACAAAAAACAAAAAATAAGAATAAATATATCCTGTGGACGAAATAGGCTGTTTAATTCATGAAAACTGACATACACAAAATTAATGGTGGCCTGGAAATTTTTTAAAATAGGAAAATACATTGAATAATAATAATAATAATAATAATAATAATAATAATAATAATAATAATAACAACAATGGTTTTGTTAGAAACTCAGGGATATGCTGCGTGTGAGTTTTCGTACTAAATGTACAACTTAAACATATAAACAATTTATAAACATATATATATATATATATATATATATATATATATATATATATATATATATATAGTGCTGTTCGATAAAAGTGACTCACTTGATTTTTTTTTACTAAAAATATTTTTTGTCTATTGTTTTGGGGGTTAAAATAATTTTAATCTTATTAATTAAGTCACCCTTTGCATAATTCCATAATTCACCGCTTCCCGACCACCTAGGAAAAAACGTTTATTCACCCTAAGGTATTCTATTGATAATTATAAATTTGGATATAAATGAGATTCATGAAAAAATTGTGATTCAGATATCGCATTCTATTGATTAAATTAGTAAATTTAAAGAGCTTTTGACAAAATATTGAAAACTGTTTTACAATACACTCAGAACAATATTCTAGAGAATTCTAGAACAGCTTAAATTAAATCTAGAGTATTCCAGAATATTCCAGAAAGCCTCATACAGTATAAAAACAGCTTGAAATAGCCACTCAGAACCATTTAAGGCATCTAGTATCGCACTCTCAAAAGCAGGCAAGTCTACGAGAGAAATTGCAGAACTTGCTATAACCTCGCAATCAACTGTCTCTCGAGTGTTTAGGGCACATAATGATGCCACTCCTGCTCCAAGGAAAGAAACAGGGGGACGAAAGAAAAAGATTGATGATAGAACTGGCAGGGTAATCAAGAGAGAAGTTGCGAAGAATAGGGCTATAACTAGCCAAGAAATTGCAGCCAGTCTAAGCGAAGAGCAATGTGTTAGTCTTGCCTCCTCAACAGTCCGTCGGTGGCTGTGAGAACAAGGCTACAAATCTTGTACACGAAGGTTTAAGCCGCTAATAAGCAAAGCCAACAAAGCCAAGAGACTTGAATGGGATCACTATTACAAAAGTTTCATCGTAGAAGACTGGAAGAATGTTCTCTTCTCCGATGAAACGAAAGTTGAGCTAAATTCAAAGGATAGGCGATCTAAAATCCGAAGAAGAGGCTTTGAAAGCTCTTTGAATTTAGCAGTAAGTACTGTCAAGCATCCGTTCAGTATAATGTTCTGGGGATGCTTTCCTTTTCATGGAACTGGTTTCTTAAAACCTATTGAAAAGACCTTCAGGAGCGAGCAGTACAAGAGAATTTTAGAGTCTTGTCTGCTCCCTTCTGCTGAAAGGGTGCAAATCGACCCCACCAAGCTCATTTTTATGCAGGATAATGCTCCCTGTCACAAATCAAAATTGATGAAGGAATACTTTGATGAGAAGCAGGTGAGTGTTATGACATGGTCGCCCCAATCTCCTGACCTCAACCCCATAGAAAACTTATGGAGCATTATAAAGTACAGGCTCTCGAGAAAGCAGTTGAGCAACAAAGAGGATTTGATTGCGAATTTCATATCCGAATGGAATTCAATTCTTGGAGATGAGATTTGCCAGAACCTAATGAAGTCAATGCCAAAAAGGGTTGAAAAGGTTATTCAAAATAAAGGAGGACCCATAGATTATTAAATATTCCGAACTATATTACCTATTATAAATAAATTATACATCTATTATTCTTTATTTAAAGCTGTCCGGTTATGATTCTATTGATTACTAGTTGCAGGAAATAAGTGAGTCACTTTTTTGTACAGAGTTTTTCCCTAGATCTCATTTATATCCAAAATTATAATTATCAATAGAATACCTTAGGATTAGTAAACTTTTTTACTAGGTGGTCGGGAAAGGGTCTTTATATTAGTAAGATTAAAAATTAGTTTGACCCCAAAAACATTGTTCATTGTTCAACGTTTTGTTCATTTTTAGAAATTCATTTTAAACTTTAAAAATTATAATTAAAAAAAGTAGGAAGCAAAAAATAAATTTTAAAAATTGCTCTTAGTTGGACGAGAAATAAGCAGACTCTGAAATTACAGACTGAATCTACGGACTTTCAAGAATTACTCAGACCTTCCAAAGTTTGCACAAAGATATTGTGTTTCGGGAACTTTTGCAGTAAACATAATTTTTGGTTGTAAATATGTAATATTTATGAGGATTTTATACGAATATCTTTGCTTAGGTGTTTAGAAATTGTACACTGTTCAGTTATTAACGTTAACAACGAATTATTTTAAATTATAAAGTTGTACTTGGATTAAACGAAAATTATTTACAATATAATACATATTATTTATAATGCATTCGTTGTTATTGTCAATTTTGATGGCACGAATGCACTAGTCTAGAACTAAATATATTTGTTAGTAAGAATGAAACGTTCAATGGAAATATCCAAAATTATTTTTCAGACAATTCTTGTTTTTTCTTTTGGTCTTCTTGGTTTATCTTTTCTTCGTCTTTTCATCTTCTTAACGTGTCTTTCCATTTTTCATCTTTCTTGGCTTGATTTTTCTTCTTTTTCTTGGCTTGATTTTTCTTCTTTTTCTTGGCTTGATTTTTCTTCTTTTTCTTCCGTCATGACTTGTCTTTTCTTTTTGATCTTCTTCACACAACTTTTGAACTTCGTGACGCGCTATTTGATCTTTTCTTTTGAGCATTTTGTCTTTTATTTTCATAGACTTATTCTTTTAATCTTCTTGACTTGCTAGTCATCTTATCATACTTTACATTTTAAAAAAGCGACGATATAACGTCTACAGTCTCGCATCCTGACAATGTCATTTCTCATTGAAAGAGATTAAAATAAGAACATCATTGTTACTTACAAAAATAAAACACAAATAATCGATGGAGGTGCAATGAATTTATTGCTCTTTGCTCTCCGCATTACCTCATTTATACAATGTTTAGAGAAAAATCAATAGCAATAATTGAACAGTAGTTCCGGGAAAACATAGTCAGTCGAACACAACGTACAGACTGTCATGGCTGTTATTGTATCAGTATCTGATCGAACAAGCTGACAGGTTCTTAATTTTAATACGTATCTTGACAAATGTTACCATCTTAAATGAATTGTAAATTTGGATATTCCAGATGTCGATTATATGTCATTTTTTAAATATAAATTCTTGTCTTGAAATTCAAAGATACTCGGAAAATACCATAAGGGTTTCCAATGTCTCTTTGACTTGATACGAACTGACTTATCTTCTTGACGCGTCATTTCATTGTCAACTCGATGCGTTTAATACTGTTTTATTCTATTTACTATGTTTCATATAACAAGTATTTTCTCCCTCTTTGATGTTTTCAAAACAGTCCCTAACATGATATTAGCAATTATTCATGAACAAAAATGTGTCAGTACATCTACTCGTGTGTGTGACTGGATCATAATCTCTAATATGACCCAGTCTCGACGTGTAAAGGGACAATCCGGAGAGGTTAGAACTTCTTATCTTTTTGATTATCTTTTGATGTAGGGCTTATTGGTTCTTATGATTGAAGGTATGATATTATGGAAATATTTTAGTCTGTCTTACATACTTAGCGTACATATATTGTTAACCACCGCACAAATGTCTAAAGTTATCGAATAAAATTTTCACAATATAGAAAAAAAGCCGATGCACGAGTTCAATGTTTCATATTTTTCTTTTTCTATTGAACAATTTCCATTTTTATTTTTTCTCCGCTCCGAAATGGCTTATCTTTACTTTTCAAATTTATTTCTATTGATTCACATATGACTTTTTCATATTTACTGTTGAATCAACAATTTGCATAAGAGATTAATAAAATGATATCAGCTTAGAGCCTGGATATTTTATAATTATTACATTAAATTAGATAGGATTAGATTAGCAAATGTCAAAACGGAAAACATTTCATGGCACGTTTCAATCAATTACAAGCTCCTTCAAACTATTGAAATTTTTTATTTGAAAAAAATAAATAAATAAACGCAATGCCATATGAGGCGAACGTATCGAAAGTGCACTAATTTACGAAATCAAAACAATAAAACAATAAATATATCGTAACTATCACCAATTATCCCGAATCTGAACCAATGTCATATTAACACAATAGAAAACAACTAATTTCTTATTCTAATTGATTTTTTTCAGATAGCAATGTGAGACAATGTTGCAAGTAGCACTGACCGATATAGATTTTACTTTGATTTTTATTTATCTCCATTATGTCTTTGATAATCTATTTCAGAAAACATAATAAATGATGTAAAATTTGTTCTGAGATGATCTCACCCAAACAGAGGTCCAAATTAGAATACATTTTTACGCAAAGAATATTCAGTTATTAAAGAATAAATTCACTAAACAACAATGTCAAAACTCGACTCTGAGTGTATTAAACAACAAAAGAAAAGAGCAAAGCGTAAGCAGTAAATCTGTTATTTTCGTTTCAGCTCTGAAAATTTGTCAAAGTTTGCAATCATAGCATGTAATGAACATTGATTTTAAATAATATTCAGAAGAAATATAAAACACCTGGGAAATTGTATCATAAAATAAATAAAGTTTTTGTAACAGATCCGATTTGAAACACCGATTTTTCATGTTAAGATTTTATTTCATTCTTGTCTAATTTCATTATGGAAAAAATATTGAAATGCCTTGCACCATGATCATATTTGAATACATATAAAAGTTTGAAATGTTCCATTTTATGTGGGAAATATGTTTATAAACATGTATAGGTTTACTTACTTTTCTATTCTAAGGTCAGCTAAGACAGTGAAATTGCATAACTACATTAACCTAAGCCAAATACGTTTTAAAACGAAAGTATGATACATTTTACCTTTTACAATATTTCGGAATATCTAATTTACCAAAATATGGAACTGAAATATTGAAATGGGTATAGCCGTTGAATAACGAATATCGAAACGACAAAGATAAGTGAATTTCTACCAACTGTCTGCTAATGGATTGTAAAACTTTGACAATGTTATGCACAAGGAATTGAATTTGAATTTATTTGGGCCTACAGCCTTCAGATCTAACGCATTTCCATAAAAATATTTCTAAAGAGGATGAAATTTAAAAAAAAAAAAAAAAACTTTGTATAATGCGAGAAAGTTTGAAAAGAAGCTATAGCAACTAAAACATTTTTTTTATTGGAAAAAATATTATACATCTACCGGATATAAGTAAAAGTTTTTTTTGTTTTGTTTTTTATACTTGATGTATACAATTTATATCTGTGCCCAAATCTAACATTGACAGTTCAAAGTTCACATGAAATCAATTGAGATGAGTATTTCTTGTGTTTTACCATTCTAAACAAACCATTATTATGGAAACGAGTCAAATCTGAAGGCTATCCATTCAAATTATATAAAAATATCAAAGATCTGCAATAGAGAAACAGACAATTGGAAAGAAATTCATTTTTGTTTTATTTTAGAGTAGAAAACGCTTTAAAGTATAAATCTTTTGCCATTTGCAATAATGATAGAAAGAAAATGTAATTATTAATTAATTTATTAAACTCTAAATCTGAGATTCTGCGCGTTTCTTTAATTGTTAATAATTCGTTATAAAACAGAAAATGAAGCAAATGTTTGTGGTATTTAGAGAAACAAATTTCATATTGTTAGAGGCCTAAAAAAATTACATTTATAAACAGTTAACATGCTAGAATGAAATGTTCTTGTAATCTGCCATTTAAAAGCCCCTTTAAAATATTCTTTTTGTCAATTCCTGTGATATTTACTTGTTTGACAATTAGCACAGTAATTGTTTGATTCGTTTATCTAATTCAATTTTAGCTCCTCTTCGATTTGACGTTCACATTGGTAGCAGCCCTAACGTGACGGAGAACCAAGTGTGCAAGCGACACCACAGCGTCCCATCAGCACCATTAGCTACAATATTCTGCGAAGAAGATTTAAGTGGCAGGTAACATAGCTGTTCTAATAGGCGCTTCTGCATGGGGTAATGCTTAACGAGCTGGTCTGGTTGATCATTGCTACTCAATCGTCAATAACAACATAATTGTTTAGGAAAATAAGTGTAATGTGCTATTTTATTTGCATTGCAATTGTTTGTATTTTCGTTCAATTATTCAGAAAAAATGTTTAGATGCGTAATTCTAAAAACTTAATAAAAATAATAGAAATTGTTCTTGATAATTATTAGTGAATATTTAACTTTCACAGATAAAATATCTGCATCACGTAAGGATAATTAAAAGTATTAATTTCCTTCAAGATACTGACTTGGGACATTTATCTTCTATTGCCGAAGATTTTACAAATATAGTAGGAATCCTTTAACTTAGAAACTTAGTCTTAAAGGGTTAATGCAGAATTTTATTTCTCTCCTGTTCATCTCTCAAATATTCATTAATATAATTTATAATAACCAATGTTGGCAATCTAATGTCTTGTTTCGAAAAAGCACGAATCCCTCTTAGTATGTTCTACTAGGAATTGCCCTGAGTTCGATATATTTTACCATTTACCTTATTTTCTTTGATAATTTGATAAATAACGAGATACAATTATTTATCGCTTATCTTTCTGTTTTAAACTTTCAATCTAATCCTAAACAAATGCGTATCTTTCTCTGATCACCATTTTTGTTTGTCAGTCTTTTTAATTGATGATTAATTCAAAGTATAACAGTTAAGTAAACATCAACCATTGCAATAAAAGCCGTTTCACTGAGTTTGCACGTTTTTACAAGTTTTAATGGCTTAAAATATTCATTCATATATAATTTATCCTTTTTTTTGTGACATAATTCAAAATTCAGAAATCGGATGAAGTATTTCATATTTCAACAATCATTTGGTTAAAACGTATTATTTTAAGTGAAAATGTAATGTTTATTTCAACTATAATGAAATAAATTTTATATCTGTTCATGTGCGCGCCCCGATTAAACATACAAACACATACACATATATATATATATATATAATAATTTTGATTCCCTTTCAGATATGTGGGCATTATACTCAACGGAACAAATGAAGATGGTACTGGAAGTCTTGTCCTATGCGAAGTCATCGTCTATCAGGAATGACACCACAGCTACGTTAAAAAATCCGCACTTGAGAGCATCCCAGCAATTGGTTGTGTTGTGAAATAATTAATCTAGATTCAAATTTAATTCAAGAAAACAAAAACAAAATCGGATGGAAAAGTATCCCCCCCCTCAAAAAAAGAACAGGAAACCTACCCGACAGTAACCGACAGTACTCAATAGCCTAGAACAGAAAATCTGCAAGCAGAAAAAAATTCCAATCCAAAAACAGAGTGGCATCACAATTCGAAACAGTGTAGACACAGATCTTAGATCTGTGTGAAGATCACATTCAGTTATGGGAAAGATCTATAAAGATCTGTATCTCTACCGCTTCGGATTGTTTATATATATATATATATATACATATATATATATATGTGTGTGTGTGTGTGTGTGGGTGTGTGTGGGTGTGTGTGCGCGCGCAAATATGTAGAAAAATAGGAAAGCACACGTTAGGTAAATAATCCGAGGTTCTTTAGTATTTTTGTTTTTTATTTTTTTTTAAAAAAAGTGCTCCATACAGAAGTAGAGCTTGAATTAAAATTATTTTTAAAAAATTATGATTCCTTCGCTACATAAGAGTTCTCATGTTTCAAAAAAACAAGAGCCAAAAACCACAATATAATTATTGAAATTAAATTGAATTAAAGAATCAAGCCCTGTTTCATTCTCAAGCGAAAATTTAGGAATGACCAATCTTGAAATTTACGCATCTTTATAAGCATGTTCATTCACAAAATTAATTACTTTGGAAACGACTATTTTGATAAGAAGCATACGAGTTAGTTTGTATCAAGATATCAGTTACCTTCGGAAAGGGGTCAAAAGAGAGAAAGAGGGCCGGGTGTCCATTTCAAAGCAAATGATGGTATTCATGTACGCACATCGTCTGGTCAGTCACAACTACAGATAGCTGTTGGCACCATAATACGTCTTTAAATGTCTAGAGAATTTTATTTTATTTATTTATTATTAAGTTTTTTTCTAAAGGGCTGTTTCGTACATAAACGCGCCGCACTGAACTACAATGTGTTTTTTGACAACTTCATAAAAAGTTTTTCTATCTTATGATTGGGTTAAGCTTTTAAATCTTTTATTAGACTATGAATTTAATTTTTTTATGCTAATTATTTAATGTGAAAAGTTGTTGATGTCGGCAGAAAACCGTTAACTCATGTCTATGGTTTAATAAATTTTCATTATTTAGAAACTTAATGATGTGTAGTTTTTCATATAGGCATAAAGTGCATGGGTCATCCCAGGTTTTACAAGTTCTGGTTCTGTTTATTATTTTCCATTTTACTTTTTGTGTTTTATTCATTTCCTTTAAATGCCAAAAATATTTGGATAGAAATGTCTGATTTCTATTTCTAATACCATCATTTGCTTTGAAATGGACACACCGACCCTCTTTTCTCTCGTTTGACCTCTTTCCGAATGTAACTGATATCTTGATACAAACTAACTCGTATGCTTCTTATCAAAATAGTCGTTTCCATAGTAATTAATTTTGTGAATGAACATGCTTATAAAGATGCGTAAATTTCAAGATTGGTCATTCCTAAATTTTCGCTTGAGGATGAAACAGGGCTTGATACTTTAATTCAATTTAATTTCAATAATTATATTGTGGTTTTTGGCTCTTGTTTTTGAAACATGTGAACTCTTATGTAGCGAAGGAATCATAATTTTTTAAAAAATAATTATAATGTGTGTGTGTGTGTGTGTGTGTGTGTGTGTGTGTGTGTGTGTGTGTGTGTGTGTGTGTGTGCGTTCAACTACATTTACATCTTCAGATTATGCATTAAAACAAATCTTTTCTCATGTATAAAAATTATAGAAACGAAAAAAAAAATATTCGAAGGAAATCCATATGCGCGTTAACGAACAAATTTTACCAAGAAATTCTACCGTCTCATGAAACCGTTGAAAGACACGTTCCAAAATACATATAACAAATTTTAATCCATATTTTTACGCACACTCAATTAAAACCACTCCACTATACACAAATACATACAAGGCCGAAACCCGTGAGTGTTTTTCTTTTACCTATTTTTTTTTTAAACCTTTTAATGAAAATTATTGAAGAGCCTCTCAGTGGCCCAACAGACACTGTATTACACGATCGCTCTTTCTATTGATGTCAATGAACAACTAAAACACATCATGATTCATTGAAAACCCTGGCATCTTGGCTTTCCTCTCCTCTCATAAGAATAAAAAAATGTTAAATTATTTTTGTGATTCGTATAACTAAAAAACTAAAATTACCTTTTATTCAAGTGATTATCACCAGCGGACAACCTGTGCTTGGTCCAACTGGCGGCAATTTTATTCTCATAACTAATATTCTAATCATTACTTATAATGATCTCCAATATTTCAGGCTTTTCCTGTAGATCTTTTATCAGATTATTTAATCGTTATTATATTTTATTTTCATTTAAACTTTACATTCTCTTCAAACTTACAATATTTTCTCATTTATCAAAACACCGTATTTATTAGCAGGAAATAACGATTCAATTATTTTATTTGAAAAAAAAAAGAAATTATATTTTATCAAAATATGAATTTTGCCATTCTTTGGTGTCATGTTCATCGAACTGGTCTGTTTATATTTCGTTACCTAATAACATTAGCAGACTCAACCTCGTCAAAACCTTTTGTGATATTCTCTTTGAAGACAAAACTTTCTTGAGGTAGGAAGCACCGTGCCAACCAGACAAAGTTGAACACGACCATATGAACCCATGGGAAAATGTTAATTATCGAATTAATTTTTTAGACGGAAGAAAATAAAGTTGTGTACATGTTACCATTTATACACGTTTGTTTTTATTTTACTTCAACATATTTTTATCAAAACTGAGAAATGAATTCGACATATTTTATAAAACTTCTGATTTCAGGAAAACTTAAAAACTGATTCCGTTCAATGATTCGGTTGTCAAAAGATTTCAATTGACAATAAAGTGTGCAAAGATGCCAGGTGTACAGGTCAAGGTAGAAAGGATTTCTTTTGAGATTAAAAAGATGTATGTGTAAATAGATTTCTATATTAGGGTAACTCTGACAGCAATAATATATAGAATTGTATTGATATCAAAATCAACAATTGCATATGCAAAGTGTCGTAATTAGCGTCTAAATGATATTGTTCTATCAAAACCGATGAGAACAAATAATACTTTCTCTAACACATAATCGTGTGTTTATCTTCACATTACAAGAAAATTTCACTTGTGAATTTGCTTTAACAATTAATATTATCTTTTATTAGGATTTAATTTTAGAAATCTTTATGATATATTTTCTTTATTAGAATCATCTTTATGATCAGATTTACACATAAGGGAACGCAAAGGACACTTGTGCTCAGAATCAGGAAAAAGCTGAAATTTCTGGGACAATGAGGAAAGAAGACTTGGATATTTTGACACTCACAATAAGTAACAGTGATAGAGGAAAACATCAGGTAACCTACATAATGAGCTTGTGTAAATGGGTGGTAGAACATAGACTGGGAGGGGGTCGTAAGGGGATAAATTGCTCAGATTTGCAAAGGATAGGAAGTAGTGAAGAGCCATGATCGCCTACACTCGGAAAGGACACAGTATATAGAAAAAGTTACAATATTAACAAAAATTATTGATGATATTTGAGTAAAACTTCTTTATACGAACAAAAGTTAATAAAAGTATGAGTCACAATGTATTTCACCGGATTTTTTAACTCCAATAAAGAGTGATTCGTGTTGTCATTTTTCATTTGGCTGTGAAAATATTTGTAATTCTACAACTATTAACAGCATTTTTATTTTTGAATCATTATTTTAAAATTAACTATTTGCAGTATTTTTGTTTATGCAGCTCTCCTATTGAAAAGCAATAAAAAAACAACTATTTATCGAATCTTTGTTTAGTTTTTTCATAAGTTAAACTGAATTATTGCTTAGTATAGAACAATTTTTGGAAAGTACATTTTGTGTAACTGTTAGCGACGATTAGTGCAGGATCGGTATGCCGAGTTCAAATTCACTCAACAAGTCTAAGTAAAGGAAAACCAGCTTGAAGGATCGGATGGCTATCAGATTATTTTAGTTGCTATGGCGACAATTTACTACTCAACAAACAGAACATTATTTATAAATAGAAAATATCAATAAGAAATAAATATAAATTAATTTTATGTTCCAGATCTTAGCATACCATGAATAAAAACGGATGGTCTACATCAGATTATTTTATCATTTTTGATCAAAGTATTTTTTTGACAAATTTTACTCTTGATTTTAACAGAACATTATTTAGGAATAGAAAATATTTTTTGAAATAAATATAAATTAATTTTATGTTCATGAGATCGCTAAAAAAATAGCATACCATGAATAAAAAACGCCTGTTTACCTTGTGGTAAAGTTCATAAGCCGGCTTTTTTGGATCTAGGTCGATCTCTCATAGTAGTTCACACATGTTGACGGTGGTTGATGCTCCCCTGCTGCTGATCAGCTCGGCCTGACCGTGACAGGTCTGTTTTCCTGGCCACCTGTGGACTGCCTGTTGAACTTCCGTGTGACCCCTTTTATAGCGTTTTTTTATGGCTTAACAGGCTCGAAAAACGAAGCGAGTATAATTAGGAGGGAAGCATTTTTATTGGACGAAAAATAGAGCACTTTAAATATTATTTTATTTTTCGACCGGAACACGTGTGTCGGGAACATTTGTAAAGAAAGATAATGGTCATTTTGTGACGGGGCTTTGTCCCGTTTACATCCGGTTCTCGCTCTTGAGTATTTGCCTGTAAATCAGCCGAGATATGTCTTATTTTATTTTATAACAAGGCTCCCCCAGATCTCGGTCTCATTTACAGTGAGCGTTATTCGTGTATATTTGGGTGATTAATTCATGATAAAGTCTCTGAAGCGTGTGGGAAGTTGTCCTCGTGTTCTTCTTATTGGCATTTGTTTTGGTATGGGGTTATTTGCTGAATTA